ACGCATAAATACATACAAACATGTGAGTAATTAAATTTATAAAAATAAAATAAAAGTTATGTTGTGCTTTTTGAATGAAGTTTTTTATTGAATTAAGTAGCATTGGATGCGGCAAACTCGATTTAGTGCTGCAAAACTGATTGAAATGGTAATCGAAAACTATACAGCAATGCCCTCGATGCACACTATAGTATCTAAATTTCCTGGAATCTTCAATATTTATTTCCATTCTAATTACCAGTTTCCTTTCCCTTTAAATAATTCTGGTTTAGACACCAATTTATAATGAAACGTTATAGGGAAATGTTAATGAAATAATTAAGTTTGATCATTTTCTTTATTAAAAGAGTTAACAATTGTGATATATATATATATATATATATATATATATATATATATATATATATATATATAGTTGAAAACTTAAATAAAACTCTATTTCTTGAATAAATAATGTAGGAAACCGTTATAGTAGCAAAGATTGCCGTGCTTAGGCGTCGACAGGCTGGAACACTAAATAAATTTGAAAATCACATCCTACAAAGGGTTTATTATTTAAGGTTAGAAAGGATGTTTATCTTTATACAATAACAACAGAAAATATACAGTAAGAGGAGCTTGTAAAAAAAAAATTCAGGTTTATGTTTATACAAGAACCCCTAGGAGTTTATAGATTTTAAATAGAAAACGTTTTTTATAAGTGAAAATAAACTGACTTATTTGTATATACCTTGAAATATTTTTTTTCGATGGAAAAAGTTTTAAAACATTTTCTTTCATTTTATTATTAATTTAAGTTTAAAGTTATATTCATTGATTGAGTTGATCAATAAATATATAAAAGAAAAAAAACATTTAAGCTTATTATAATTATACGTGAATTAGTATTAAAAGATTAACGAAAAATATTGTATGTAACTAAATTTGTTATTGTTCTTTATTATATATAATTTTATATTATATAGTAAGTGGCACGAATTTTCAGTTAATACATTATATTTAATCGTAAAATAAGTTTATAACAAATTTCTAATCAACTAATATTATTCAAAGCTAAAATTTGGTTTATCGATATTTACTTTCTTGAAAAAGGTAAAGTCTAACAAAATTATTATAGTTAACAAAATTATTATATTAAAATTATTATATTAATATAATATATAATGATTATTTGGTATTTAAAAGTAATATATTTATTTTGTAAACATTATTTGTTATAACAACAGCTCATTATAAAAGTAATATATATTAGAAATTTTAATATTTGATTTGAAAAATTTGCATTTACAGCATAAAATAATAAATTATTTCCTTTCTCAACTATGTAATTTATAATTAATGAATTTAAAATTAAAATATTATCACTGATTAAATAAATAACTTTAAGGATATTATTTCTACATATTTTTCTTAATTATGTTAAGAAAATGAATAAAAATCATAAATTACAAATGAAAATCAATAAGGTACTAAAGGAAATAATTATTCAATAAACGTACGATAAACAAACAAAAAAACTTAGAAAATAATTAGATAAACTAAAATTATTATTAAATGTTAAAAGGAAACTGTATATATTTCTTATTAAAAAATAGTCTCTTTAATTAATCTTTAAAGTATTATTTCATGAAAAATTCTATTACACAATCTGCAAAATATAAATAAATTATGTAATTCATGATTGTAAGTATGCTTTAATACTCATATAAATGCATAATCAATGTTTTCTTATAAATAATTATTCATTGTTAATCACTTTTTTAAACACTTTTTTAACGGAATATGATTAGTATTACACGTCCTAAGAAGTGCAGGCAATTAAATTCCATATATAGTAAACTTGATTTAATTTAAATAATGTTATAATTTACTCTTCAATTTGTATAGTATTAATTACAATAAATTGTTTGCAACATAAGTTCACAAATACAAGAATATTATAAGATGATTGTGTTTTTTATTTTATGATATTTACAAA